TTAGGGTTAATGCTTGTAAGGGCTATAAATAGCCCCACTTCCTCTTAAATCAAATAATCCGACTAAACTCAAGCATTCGTGCAATCAACTAGTCTTCAGTTGAATCTTCCAATTCCCCATGTGCTTGAATGGGCCTTGGTCTTTATATTCTCATCAAACATGAAAAACATTAAAAATAACAATAACTGACATATATTAACATTTCAAGATTCGTACAATTAGCAAGTCATGGGACATTTACAAAAATATAGCACACAGGTGCCACGAAAGTGCAATTAGTCATGCAGTACATGTCAAGAGCTTTACAAGCATCACCCCAACTAATCCCAGTTACAAAAATCAAAAGATTCATCAATCCTAGCCTAATTCGCATCCGAATCGCTAGCCTGGACCTCCTTCTTCGGGTCCTCCTTGAAAGGCTCTTCCTCAGGAGTGCCCTCACGAGCCGGGCTATCGACGGTTTCTATCACCTCCTCTATCAACATGGTGGTTTCAGTTAGAATTCCAGCGGCCCGATCTCGGATCTCCTCGACTATCCTAGTTAGTTGAGCCCTAGTCCTCTAAAACTCGACACCAGCAGCATCAGCTCTAGTCCGCTCATCTACCACCATCCCCTCGAACTCGATGATTCTAGCACCCTGGGCATCCACCATGGCATTCTGCTCCTCAATCTCCTGAAATAATGCCCTATTAGTAGCCACCAACTACCGGCGCTCGTCATCAATGGACAGTACAAGGTCATTAGGATAGGTGTACGTCTCCCTACAGGGACAACGAGGGAACCTATTGGAAGACGACTATCGGTATCAGATAGGCCTAAGAGACTGCACATGACCATTGGCCTCTCCATTGCCGTTAGCAGCATGACCTCCATTTCCGTTCTCCATTCCTACAAAATAACCACAACTTAAGGTTAGAAACTTAAGGTCACTAACTCGCTCAAACATCACTTAAGTTATAACTAAATTATTTAATCCCTACTCTCAAGAGTAAAGACTTTAAAACATCGTCTCCCAAATAGACCTCTAAATCTAGCGCTCTGATACCAACTGTGACGCCCCCACTCCTCTCTAGGGCAAAACCAAGGGTATCCGTGGAACGCCTGCCTAACTGTCGCCAGGACTCGATACAAGTCTAATTCAAACTTAAGGATAAACAACCAAATAATAAAGGTCAAAGTAAAGAAAAGTCGCTTCCTTAATAAAACATTCAAATCTTACATTATAAATTACCAAAAGTACATCAACTTTTCCCAAAAATACAACCACTAGAAGTCGACTAATCAATTACATCCAAAAATTCTAAACAAAAGTAATCAGGTCCACTTCTCCAAAATCTTTCCATTCCGAGCTTCTGTTAAGGAAAACAAACTAATGGGGTGAGCGAACACTCAGTGAGGCCAAGAAAAAGAAAAAAACATGCAAACACATAGTTCAAGTAACAATAACATTTGTACAAGAATTAAAGTTAGAAAATTCAAGTAATTCACAATTAATAATAAAACACGATTAATAAGGATACGGGAGCTCTCAAGAGCTAAATTCCACTTGCTTTGCCAAGACTCGATCCAATACCTCAACGTGATGACACTCCGTCAACCGGGTAGGTATTAACTCCGTATAAACTCCATTTGCTTCCCCTATCCATCATTTCACCCTCCCGAATCCGTAACTAAACACGCACGAAAAGGACGATACTACACGAGTATGCCGAACAAGATCTCAAAAGATCAAGTTTTGTTTTTATAAAATTCTCATGGTTCATCAAACTTCTCGACCAACCCCATGCCGGCTCGAGTCGCAAGGTTAGCCAATGAGATTTGGGCATCCCCCACGAGTACACGTATAATAGTCGACGAGATCCACTCCAATCGACATCCAAGTTCAAATTTAATACAAAACAAGTTCAAGTAAGTTAAGTAAGTTAAGTAATAAGTCAAATAAAGGAGAGCGAGTGCGATAAAGTACACACTCGCCTCATCAAGTTATGTTCACGTATACAAGTAAGATTAATCAAGTAAACACAACAATTCATGCACTTGACACTCACCAATTCAAAAGTAATTGAATGAGTAAAGTCTTTAGTTGTCCCCTCCGAGATTCTCTTCAAGACTCGCTTGTGCACCTGAAGAAATGGTAACCATACATCACTCACGTAAACTCACGACCACTTATTATTCAAAGAAGAAAGTGCATTCTTTTAAACGTAGAACAATGCCACAAGAGGGCTTTACTCTATTGAAATTTAAGATTCAAAAGTAAGGATTTAAAATCACAAGGAAAACTTGTATCCTCTATGAAATCAGGTTTAAAATGGTCTATCAATATCAAAAGAAAGTGAAAATTCTTGAAAGTTCATTTCCTAAAGAATCAGAAATTTTCAGCTTTGCGCGACAAAACTTGGAAAATTAGATCTTGAGGTTGGTACGTCCAAAAATGGAAAACTTTATACCATTGGAAATTAGATTCAAAATAGTAAAACTTTCCTGAAGATACTTTTCTAAGCTTCTAACCAGAAAGCATTCGAATTTCAGCTCAAAGTTACAGTTTCCAGAAGACAGGACAGAACCAGTCTTGGTTTTTCGGCAATGTTTGGAAATTCGGCAAAATTCACAGAAAGTGAATCAGCCTCTAAAATTTATAACACAACAAGAGTTCCAAATCATGTTTCAAACATAACAAGCGGAACTAAATTTGGAGTTTTGAGTAACAAAATATAACAGTTGAAAGTTGACTGGTTTTAGCAACCTGTTCAGAAGTTTTTCCAGTTTCCAGCTTAAACACAGTTTTGAAATCAGACCATATCTAACTCTACAAAAGTCCAAATTGAGAATGGTTTATGGCATTAGAAACTAAGTTCAAAATTCTACATTTCATCAGAAGACATTGTTTCCAAAATCTTTTCACAAGTGGGACAAAATCGAGCCATAAGATGCAGCTTCCCAGTTTCTCTGGGATAGATAGACCAAACAGGTCAGTCCTCTTTGCCGATTCGCTAAGGTTTACTCAAAATGAACTAGTAGGGGATTCTTATACCGTTTGAAAGCTTTGAATGTCTAGTTTTGAATGCCATAAACGTCACTAAATTTTGACTTTTGTACAAAGAGTTATGTTCAAGCAAAGAACCCCTGTCCAGCTACCCTGGTAAGCATTTTCCAGATTTCAAACTTTTCCAAAACTCAAGTTTTATACAACCAATCGACATGATTTTTGAAAGACACTTTCTACATACATAGTACCACATCTATCCATCAATTTAACAGTCAAATAAGCAACAAAATTTTGAATTAAAAGCAGGACAACCAGAACAGAAATTTAGCCAGCTCACTCTCACAGTTTCTTCCAACTTTCTCTCATCTTTTCAAGCCAAAATCATCTCATTCATCACATAAACAACAATAATCAAGCAATATAGCTTCAAGTCAGCTACCTAAAGGCCTTCTTAAGACATCTAGCTTAGGATTTAAAGCAAGATAAATGTTTCCTCAAGTCTGCTAGCCTATAAACTTCATTAGGGTTTCAAACCCATGAAAACTAACCATCAATCTTTGTATAAATGGAAATATTAAAGAGATGAAGTGATTACCCTTTAAACCCTAGATGAAGACCAGATTTTCTTCCAAAATATCACCAAGATACTCCATAAGATGGCTTCTTTCTCCAAGCTAGAGTGGAATCCAAGTGGTTTGTGAGTTGGATGAAGAAAAGTGAGCAAACTTGAAGCCAAAGAATGGAGTTTCTTTCTTCCCTTTTCTTCCTTAGGGTTTCGGCCGAAAATGGAGAGAGAGAGAGGGTTTCTTGGTTTTAAATTTTGTGGAAGAAATATGTTGAGGAAGCTAACTTAAAGTTGTAAGAAAGTCAACTTTTAATAGTGCGAAATAGTGATTCGTACTACCACTTTCTCTCTTGTTTGATACACTTATACACTAAACTTCCAAGGTAATTCATCTAACACTTTAATTACTTGTACTTACTAGTCTAGTACTAAATTCTCAAATCTCCAATTAATTGTACTGGCACGACTTACGAGAAACTTTCGACACGAACGCGATAAAATGAAATTTAAGGAGAATTCAAGCAATACTAGAATAATTAAATAACACTAGGGAAATTAATTATAAAAATGACTAAATTAGGAATAAAAACATGAGTCCTCACACATTTGGCTTTTGCAGACGACGTTATTATCTTTGCTAATAAGGGTGCGGATTCGTTAAGGAGGGTCATGCGGACTTTGGACTGGTACCAGAGTAACTCTGGCCAGTTGGTAAATGTGCAGTAGAGTGGATACTTAGTACACCCTCGGATCACAGTAACCTGTAAAAGGGTAATTGAGTGGGTTACTCAGTTTCAAAAGAGAGAGTTCCCGGTTCGGTATTTGGGTGCTCCGTTGTTTATTGGCAGAGCCAAGGAGGCGTATTACTCGGATTTGTGCCAGAAGGTTCTTGATAAGGTGCTCTCTTGGAAATCCCGTCTGTTATCCTTTGGGAGGAAGCTTATTTTGATTAGGTATGTTCTGTCCAGCATCCCGATCCATTTATTGGTAGTGGGTGTCATACCAAAAGGTACTTTCTGGCTGATTGAAAGGGTGTGTGCTAATTTCCTCTGGGGGACGGGAGACGAGAAGAAGAAACTCCATTGGATTCGTTGGCGGGACTTGTGTTATCCCACGGATGAAGGTGGGGGTGGGTTTCGATCGCTCATTGACATGTATAAGGCTTTCTCTTGTAAATTATGATGGACTTTCCAGTGTGGGCTCTCCTTATGGGCAAGATTCCTAAGTGCTAAGTATTGCAAGGGGTTTCATCCCTACCAAATTCCTGTGACTCCTTTAGGCTCGACAACTGAAAGAGAATGTTAGATATTCGGGGGTTGGCGGAGTTGTTTATTGGGTGGAGTCTACACGAGAGTAGTTGTAGCTTCTGGTATGATAATTGGACTAGCCACGGGGCTTTCTATCTGAGAGTGGGGGTGTGGGAGGACGTCTCCTTTCTAACCTTTATGGAGGATAGGGAATGGGTCGCGTGGAAGCTAGCTGAAGTCCTACCTTGCGTCATGGTACAACAGGTATTGGCGGTGGTTGGGCCGGATGGGGCCTTCCCTGATAGAATGATATTGTTAGCGTCAACCTCGGGTCAGTTTTCGTTATCGTCTACATATAGAGAGGTTCGTGAGATGAAGCCGTTGTCATTCCTCTTTCGCCAGATATGGGATGCGAGTGTCCCCCTGAAGGTGTCATTCTTTATGCTTCGTTTGTTGTCTAACCGCCTTCCCTTGGATGACGTGTTGGTGGCACGTGGTTTTCAGCTTCCATCCAAGTGTTCATGTTGTCTGGTATCGAATACTGAATCCCTTCGTCACTTGTTCTTGGAGGGGGAACTTGCAACTACGGTGTGGCAGTTTTTTGGCTCGGTAGGTAGGTTGGCTCTGAATGTCAACCATGTCTGGGTGTGGTTGATTGGTTGGTGGCTCAAGCCGATGAAATCAGAGCAGCTTAGGTTCATGTTCCGGATCTTACCTTCTCTCATCTGTTGGCATATTTGGAAGGCTAGGAACACAGCGGTGTTCCAGGGGTCCGTGCAGCTTCCTACTGAGGTATGTTAGGCCATCTTTCGGGAGCTAAAGGATGTTTTTTGGCTCAAATTTGGGGAGATACATCGGGCAGTAGACTGGCCTACGTTCTTGGAGTCGGTGGAGTGCCGGCCGGATGCGGTCCTTGTGCGTCAGATTTGGTGGTTCGCTCCATGGCCTGGCGGGGTCAAGCTCAATAGTGATGGGTGCTCAAAAGGTAACCCAGGGGTGAGTGGAGGAGGGGGTATCCTTCAAAACTCTGCGGGCTGTATGGTATTTGCATTCTCCGGTTATTTTGGGAACTGTACCAGTTTGCAAGCAGAGGCCAAAGCATTATTACTCGGGCTGCAGATATGTGTGCAACGGGGCTTTAGTGGTAATTTGGTGGTGGAGACAGATTCTTTGATGTTATAACGTAGTCTTCAAAAACGTTACCAGTGTCCATGGTCCATCAGTGCAGAGATGGTGAAGATTGAGCTAATGGCCGGGGGGGGCTGTCAGGTCACTGTCGCGCCCCATTTTTTGATAAATAAATAAATGGTTTAAAAAATGTATTTTTCGATGCAATTTGTGATTGGAAAATGAATTGTGATTTAAAAGAAAAATGGGTCTAAATGGGGGTTCGAGAATGCGACGATTTGACCCAAAATTATAGTTTAAAAAGGGTTATTAAAACTAAATACGGAGTCGCCACTTGGTAATGAGTTAAGGTGTACCAAGTCACCTAAAAAATGTATTTTTAAAAAAAAAAGGAAAAAGTAGTGAGAAACCCTTTTTAAACGACTCCTAGTCTACGTAAACCAAAGAAAAAGGTTCGGGAGTCACATTTGACAAAGGGGAAGGCAAGAATAAAATCCAAGGCACCCCTTTGACCTAGCCAAGGCTAGTTGCATGATTTAATCAAAGATTTTCTTGTTTTAACCAAAGAATTTATTACATTTGGATGCACTACATGAATGCAAACCCTAGACCTAGGGGTATTGGGGGAAATTTCTCTTCAAAGGTTGAGTGGTACCAATCACATTAATTGTGAAGCCCAATAACGATCCTTTGAAGAAGTCACGAATAATGCGAGTGGGATGCAAATGAATGGAATGCATGTATGCAATGTGAGGACATGAGTTTGAAAAAGTAATAATAAACAATAAAAATGTAAAGGAAAATGTGCACGTGAGTGGGCAAGGTACGGTATGTGAAATGAGAATATGAAGTGCATGTGTGCAAGTGATGATAAAAGTGTTCGTGTGCAAGTGAAGAAACACAAAGGTGCTCGTGTGCAAAATGGGAGGAAAAATGAAAGTGTGATGAGGGTATAAAATGGTAGAGTGGATTTAAAAATGCATGAGCCTAGGGAATTCATGCACATTGGGTACGGGGAGACCTAAATCGTGACTCAATTTGCCTTTTTATAGAGGGAATACAAGCGTGCTAAGGCTTATAAAAAGCCACACTCGTCTATATCCCATATTTAAGGGGACTCTCAAGCAAATGAACCCCTATAAACTAGCATGAAATGCAAAAACCTAAATTGAGAGGGAAGGGATTAGAGGGGCATGCAAAATGATAAAACTAAGAAAAATGCATGACATGTAATGAACATGCAAACATATACTAACGAGGGGAAATCCCTAAGGGTCTAGCGTTGGACTAGCCCATTCTATGAATTCCGACTAGCGTTGGACTAGTGGAAGCGTACATTCATCCATCACATTCATTCATGGCCATGGAAAGCGAGTAGACATGCCAAACACTCGTAAACACATAGCACATAACACTTAGCATGCTCGACTAGATGCAAGGCCCTAATAAAGCAAATTAACACGTAGCACGTAAGCATGCAAGACAAATGAGACAATTAAAGCCCTAACTATTACATTTGCTAGCTAGGCACATGTCTTCGATAGATCTTCATTGAATGCTCCTCCAAGACTTATCTATTACATTAGGGAAACCCTACTACAATCTAAAAGGGGGAAAAGGAATAAAATGATTAAATCCCTAACTATTATAAGCCAAGAGGTGTACACATACCCCATTAAAAGAATACTTGAATAAAAGTAAAAGTAAATGAAATAAATGCAAGGAATTAAGGAAAAAGAAGGAAAAGCGAAATAGACATGCATATTCACATAACACGTAGGAGCACGTAGGGTCAAATGAAGTGCAAATGAGGGATAGAGTGTACCTCCCTTGAATTGACGCCCTAATGAAGTGAAATTACTAATTTACCCTCCAAAATAATAAACGGGTCAAGGTACCACTTAAATTATCAAATGATCACATGAAACAACCATTAAACACAAAAATGAAAATTAATCACGAAACGAAAATCAAGTATGGAATAGATCATGCACGTGCAAGCAAAACTCGATCTCAAATAAAAAAAGGTCCCAAGAATCTGAAGTGGAGTGCTAAAATGGATGGTCTAAGGTGGAATTCCTCACAGTCAAAATGCAAAAATCATGAAAAAAGAAATGGCAAATTATTTATCAAAGTTAAAAAACAATATTATCTAAGCAAAAACTTAAATCAAACGAAACCAAGACCATAAATGCCTCCAAGTTATTAAGCTTTCATGATTTTATCCTAGAAATCTATTAAGATTGTTCACAATTTATGTAAAAAAAACATATCAAGGTAAAATCACATAAAAGGGATCCAATTGCAAACGTTAATCAGTCATGTGAGCCCAATTAGAACATTTAAGAACTTTAAAGGTTCAAGAGTGATGAAAAGGTCAAGTCATGGTTCAGATTGCAAATACTTTAGGACTCAATTGCAAGAAATTAAAGCATAATTGGGTCACAGTGCAACAAAGGGGAACTTAGGGGGTCAAAGTGCAATTTTTGAAGTTAGCTTCTTGCAAAAACCATGCAACCACGTAGAAGGCCTTCTGCAATTCTGGTTTCCTTTCCTATATGATATGCTGTATTTCATTATTAACCAAATGCATCACCAAACAAACATCAACAACCACAAAACATCACTCCTAATCATCAACCAATTCGAGTGACAGTTTCATTACAAGACCAAAACAGAAAATCTGGATCGGTGGCTACCAGAGATACAAGAAATATCAACCAAAGAAAGGAATAAAGTGCTGCAATTTTCCAGTTGCAGCTTTGCCGCCATTTTCCTTGATGCTTTGGATCAAAACATGCAACTTCATCAATCATTTTGCACAAGATTTAACTAGCAAATTGGATGAATAAAACCCAGGTTCTTGTGGCCTGTTACATGAATCAAAGACATGAAAGCTAATGCAACTTCATGCTATCCACAAAGAAAAACAAATTTCTTCAACACTTTGCCCTTAAGATTTTAGCAGCCAAAACAAATTTCAAACGCAGCTTGCTCTGAAAACACAATTTTTGATCAAAATAATGTCGTGAAACTAAGCAACAAGGCCCATAACTAAAATGCAATCCTGCAAGTTCCGACAATGCTACATACAAAGAAAATTCAGAATTTTCTTGTTTTCTGCTGCACTTTTCATTCGACAACTTTTGCAGCTCCAAGAAACTTTTGGCTAGCAAGATTCAATTCCAGCTCAAGTATGTTTAGACACAAACACTCAAAACCAATCCAAGCCTCATAACAACCATTTTATCATTCAAACCAACCAAAACATAGAAGAAAAATCATGCAAAGGCTGGAGAATTCTAGGCAAAAGGTTCGGCAGTTCATACATTCTTAGCAGAAAACTCCTTTTCTTTCGCTGGTTTCTTAAGCTGCAAATTTCTGGGTTTCATGTCAAACAGAGGGAACCAAGCTCCAAGCAAGCATCAAACTCTATTCTAGCAATCAAAACGCAGGAATTCGACATCCAAACATGAATAAGAACCCAGAATTCGCAAAAGCAAACTGGAAAATTCTTTTCTTCTTCACTCGGCTACACTGGAAAAATTCCAGCAGCTTTGGTCAATCATTTATCCGGGTTTTCCTCGGCCAAATCACTGAGTTATGTACTCAAAGGTAACATGCATAGCTACTAAATGAAGTTATTATCAATTCTAGTCCAAAACGGGGTCAGACACCAGCAACATTGATCCCAAAATTCCAGAATTAATTCAACTATTCGCAGATGACATGCATGCAGCAGATTTTTGTTTCACTCAAATTTCTGGTTTACACACAGCCAATTAATCTCATGCAGGGCTTAATCATCCAGTATTTAGTTAGCTAAACACACAACCAAGTGAGGATCAAGCATTTTCCAGTAAATTCATACTAAAATATCCATACAACTCCCAAAACAACTCCATCGGCAAACTGGAAAATTGATTAAGCAGTCCAGCAACTTCTAGTAGAAATTTCCAGCCATGCAATCGAAATCTTGGCCATAAGGTTCACATGTAACACCAAATAAAAGGCTATTTAGCAAATTGGGTCCATAACTAAGTTCGAATGCCATCAAAAATCACCATCTTACTATGAATTCATCCAATTTCTCTCTCGGTTGTCATACATGTAAACAGATTTTATATTCCCTCAATTTTCTTGCTTAAACATGTTGATTAACTTCATGCAAAGCTCAATCATCCAGCTGCTAATTAGCTAAACATACAACTGAGCTCAGATCATCACAAGTTAGCAATTTAAGGCTGAAATTTCCAGCTCAAGCTCTCGGACAGACCCAATTCCTTCAAAATCAGATTTTCTTGTAACTTAGTTCATCATCTAACCACACAACCCTCTCATGCATGCCTCTGATCAGCTTTATCAACCCATATTCAACTAGTTTAAGTCCAGAAATTTACCTCAGCTTAAGACTTAGCTCACACGACAAACAGCTGCAAAATTTTCCTCCTCTCGGCTCTGCTCACGCACGCAGGGTTGGTTGGTCTGAGTTCAGTGGTTGCAGTTGTAGTGATTGTGGTTGAATTGAGCACGGCTGGTTGAGGTGAAGAATAAAATGGCAGCTCTCGGATGATGGAGAAAGTGATGAAGCTCACGCAATTGTCTCCTGCTCTCACCCTCCCTCGGACAGTTCAAGTACCGAAGCTCGCACGGCTCTCTCTCTGATTTCTCTCGTCGATGATACCAAGGCAGAAAGTGAAGTGAAACGGAATGATGTTGTGGAGTGTTGGGGTTGCTGAAATGGAAAGCTCAGCTCGGATGAGGGAGGTGAAATGTATATATTGAGGTGTTGTGAGTGGAGCTGGTCGGCACTCCGGCAGAAATGGAGATGTTTTTTTTTTTTTTTTTTTTTTTACAAATTTTACATTAAAACTTAAAACTAAAACTAAAACTAAAACGTGAACAAAATTAAAATGACAAATAATTAGCAAATAAAAGACAAATAAAAAGGTAACAACTAAAATGCAGACAATCTAAAACAAAATCATGAATTAGATGCAACATACAAATTATT